CTCCCATCTCAGGCTTTTGCTGGTGCCTATCTGCCTGGACACTCTTCCCCAGATCTCTCCATGTCTCACTCCCCCTGGTCCTCAGACCTTTGCACAAATGTCATCTGTTCAGAGAAGCTGCTCTGATTTCTCCACTTACAACAGTCCCCCTCATTATTCCCCCTCATCCTCCTGCCCCTTTTACCTGTTTTGTTTTCCTGGCTGCACTTACTACTAACTCATGTAATGTTATATACTTATTTGGTTATTGTGTCTCCCCTGTCATAATGTAAGCTCCATGAGATCGGAGATTTGTGTTTTGCTTACCACGATGTCTCCAGCCCCTTAAACACTGCCTGACTCAGAGCAGGCACTTGTTAAAATTTTGAGGAAGAAAGCAAGAAAGTATATGGGAGGCTATCAAAACATGACAGTAAAAGAAGCTAAAACATAGGGCCGGCCCATGGCTCACTCGGGAGAGTGCGGTGCTGATAATATCAAGGCTACAGGTTCAGATCCCATATAGGGATGGCCGGTTTGCTCACTGGCTGAGCATGGTGCTGACAACACCAAGCCAAGGGTTAAGATCCCCTTACCGGTCATCTTTTAAAAAAAAAAAGAAGCTAAAACACAAAATAAAGATTTAATATATTTTCATAAGTGAGTAAAAAAAGTAGCTCCCTTATTTTTTTAGGGATGGGAGTGGGGAAATGGAGAGGCAGGAAAGAAGATGGAAATATTAACTGTATACTCAGAAAACAGGCCATTCTCGTACTGACTTCTAATTGGGAGGAGGGGAGGGTGGAGGGAGGGCTGTGACATCTCTAAATCCACTCCTAAAAGAGGCTGTGCTCCAGGAATTGGGACACAGCAGGTGGAGAAGAGAACTGAGGAGGAAAAGCACTACCTGGGCCTGGAACAGTGGGCTGGGCTAGATCATTCAAACAGCCACCAAGTCTAACTGTACTTAACCTTCAGACGAAAAATCTGTGTTCTGCAAACAACTATTTTTCTATACACTTTACATTTTAAATTTTGGGGCTTTTTCTTCTTAAATTTTACTACTTTAATTTAGTATTGGTCCTTTTGAAAATTTTCTGCCTATCTTAACGGAATAAAGGGGAACAAAATTTGGGGTCTGGCTTGGGTATGATAGGTGGTAAATGGTAGAGAGATGGTAGAGGTGGTAGAGAGATAGAAGGGTGAAAACTCAGCAGAGAGGGAGCCAAGGAAATCCTAGACAGTACAGTCCACACACCTGAGAGCACCTGGATGTGCAGCACCTCTAAGCTGCCAGGGGCAGCTCTCGCCACGCCCTCTGAATGAAGGACACCTGCCTCTCAGTTTCTTTTACTCTACCCCCCACCTTTTATTGTGGGTGAGGGGACAGCCCACTGCCTCCTCTCTTCTTGGAAGCCTGCCATCCAGAGAAGTTCCCAGTTGCTCAGATTTTGGTATCACCAATTGTGCCTTGTGTGTTGCAAAATGGGACTGCCCCAGCTCTTACCCCAACCTGGTCTTCATCACTTTCTACCTCCTGGCTGAGGTTCAAGGAAGAAAAGTGCCCTTCAGAGTTGGCCTCTTTGGGACTTGGTTTCTTTCCTTCCTGATAACATAGAGGTTCTTTTTCCAAAAAGGATGACCCTTTGTTTCTGTAGGGAGGAACCAGGGAGGAATTCTATTAATTCTCAACTCAATTGTAGCATTTAATATTTTTATTTAAATTTGAAGTTAATGAGTTTTATGTGAATTTACATATTTTTATGAAAAAAAAACCAAATAAAGAGTATGATCTTGCTCTAGTAATATTTTCATCTTAAGTCTCTGCTGCTTAATCTTTGAAGTTAATGAGTTTTATGTGAATTTACATATTTTTATGGAAAAAAAACCCAAATAAAGAGTATGATCTTGCTCTAGTAATATTTTCATCTTAAGTCTCTGCTGCTTAATCAAACAGCTGAGTGAGGGTCCTTGGGAGTGAGTGACCCCCTCACAGAGTTGTGCATTTTGCCTTCTGTGGGAAGGTCTAGCTCTACCAAAAGCAAACATGCCTTCTCCACCCCTGCTGCCATAATTGTAATGCTTCCCTAATTCATGGAAGACAATCCAATTCTTCCTCTTCGTCTTCCAGAGGGAGCTCATAGACTTAAGCTTTTAGCTAAAATATAAGCCCCTACGTACTTTAACAATGCAATATTCTCCTTCATGTCTGGTTCATACTATGCTAGAAGGGGTATTTAAAAACAAAACCCCCCTTTTACAGCATTTATGGAAATTAGATAGGATTAAGATGTTGATTGTTACCCAAACAGGGCTGTTTGAGACTGTGGCAGTTAGGGATTGTAGAGGAACTTACTCCTTTGGACCTAATGTACAAGAGTGATTCTGAATCATTCTAAGGCCTTCAGCTATCAAGTGAATAGAGCTTAGTTTCAGAACTTGCTTTTTCCCTCAATTTCAGCTCCTCTTCAAGCATCAAATTGTTAAACCACACCTCAAGGACACTGAGAAGTCCATGATGGCCAGCTCCATCTCTGACAATCATCTGTTTCTACTTTAAATCACTAAGTGATGGATTTTGGATGTGACCAGTGCCATTGTGCACACAATAAGCACAAAATAGCCTCCGGCCTCATCTTCCACTCCAGCACCAAGCCCCTCCCCGCTTCCCTTTACAAGAAGCCTCCTGACTTAGACAGAAACAACTTTCCGGCATCTGCGCAGTTCTCCACCCAGTTACATCAACCTAACGGTCCCTCCCCGCCTGTACATTTCACACCCAACAGCTAATATAAACTCTTGCAATCCCATTGTTGCTGCTGTCCTCCATTTTGAGGGCAGCCCTGGGCTGCCCCTCACTTTGGGCACAGCCTGGCAGATTCTTTTCCTTTAGTAAAGCTTGAACGATACCCAGAGTCTCAGCTCACTTTCTTTCACTAAGATCCTGATGAGGCAGTCGTTCTCTGTGCTGGTCATGCCAGCATCAAGCATCTCTAGGAGCCCTCCAGCTCTGCCACACTGTATTTATTAACCAAATTATGAGCCTATTCAGGAAAAGGAAAGCGAAACTACTACAGCTTACTTTGGGTACTTTTTAGGAACAGAGAATTGTGGGCCAACCTCCTATAAAATATCATATAAGCTCATTTTCCACCTCGCCAGATTCTATTTTTATTGTTATCAACCGCTTCACTGAGGTATAGTTTACATACCATAAAATTCACCCTTTTTAAGTGTACGAGTCAATGGTTTTTAGTACATCTACAGAGTTGTGCAAACATCGCCACAATCTAATTTTAGAACATTTCCATTAGTCCCAAAACTTCATGCTTATTGACAGTCACTCCACATTCCCACCCCAAGGTCTAGGCAACCAGTCTCTATAGATTTGCCTTTTCTGGACATTTCATATAAAAAGACCATACAATATACAGTCTTTTGTGATTGGCTTCCTTCACTGTGTAATTGTTTTGAAGTTCATCCACGAAGTAGCATGCATCAGTATTTCTTTCCTTTTAATTGTCAAATAATATTACTTTGTATGCATATACCACTTTTGTTTAGCCATTCATCAGTTGATGAACACTGGATTGTTTCCACCTTTTGACTCCTGGGAATAATGCTGCTATGAACATTCACATACCTTTATAAGGATACATGTTTTTATTTCTCCTGAGTAGGAGTTGAATTTCTGGGTCACATGGTAATTTAATGTTTAACATTTTGAGAAAATGTCAAGCTGTTTTCCAAAGTTGCTGCACCATTTTACATTACCTCCAGCAAAGTCTGAGGGATTGCATTACTTTTAGTCAGGTAGTTACAAGGTATGTAATTATGTACAGAAATCTCTGACTTTTAATTCCCTCACTAGTTAATTGAGATAATTCCCCACATTACATACATAGAAGATATACCACTTTTCTGCATATAACATTTTTCACTCTGGCTTCAATACTGTAACAGCTACGTGTGGAGTATACTAACATTTATAAAGCAAATGTATCTCACGGGGCCTAGTTTCCAAAGCCCTGTAGTTTCAGGTATAACCTAACTTTTTAAAATTACATATAGAAATGTTAAGCTTGCAAAAGACAGGAAACTTTCCCCAGGCTAAAGTCTCTGTTGTAGATAAAGAATTGTAACACAGCAAAATTGTTGGCTCAAGGACAGATGCCCTTGGAGCAAGCTAACCTGAAGTTACTTGATTGTTATGTAAACATACTGAGGAAATTGCTATAGGAAAAGACAGTATTTGCTAAGAACAAGCTTTTGTTGGTGAATCAACTTAACCTTTTGTAAACTACATTATGGAATGTCACTTTGTTATTTCACTGATGTTACCAGCTTCTATTGTTAAACTATACTTAGCCATAACTCTACCTATGTTCCTTTTCTGTAACTTTCCTACCTGCAGAATAAATACAGGGAGAAAACCCCAGTCTGGTGTTAATTTCCTGAGGAGGAATGCCTCTCTCTTGAGGGTTCCTGGAAAATTAACCCCTTTGGGGTTTCTCACTGCTCAGAAGAAATGGGCTTTGAGTAATCCTTTGCATCTCTGTCACCCAGGGGGAGAGAGGTGACAAAGAGAGTGCAACAGCTACTACCTACCAAAACTACTCCCAAACTCTATTTATACCACTCCAATTCTATTAAAAATCTCCTAACCTTTAACTTCAGTACAAGTTGTTAACAATTTTCTTCCATTTCTGTGCTTGCTATTTATGAATGTGTTAGTTATTTGTTCTTTAAAATCAGAAAGCCTGAGGGAAGTTGATACCTTGTTAGAATGAACAAGACTGAAACACCCCATCAAGATTAAAGAAGGAACATGAGAAGGGGGAAATTGTAACAGCAGGGCCCCCCATATTTGATCATATTTATCCTTTTCCCCTAGTAAGGCAGGCCTCAGCCTTGGAGGAAGTTTGCAAGGCAAACTGAATTTTGAATATTTCTGAATCCCCAGAAATAGGAATACACTTGTCTAGCAGAATGTAAGATAAGCATAAAGGCTAGCTTAGCATGCATTTCTCTGAGTTCCCTCTCTTCTCATGGTTATTTGATATTTTGAACCTTGATTACGGGGCAGGATATTTTTAACATAAATGTAAAGCTGTGCCAGCCTAGAGCTACAGACTTGTTAATGAGACATGTACTATCTAGACCCTGAGAAACCTATGCTGATTCCACCCTGAAGCATGTCAAAATCCTGCAGGACCCTAAGATAACACCAAAGGCAATGTCAGAAATCAGATAGAGCTTTGGCAAGATTTTGCACCTGGCCCCTTACATGGAGCCCCACAGCTCACATCCCCCTCCCTCCTGCTTTTCACTTCCCACTTCTTATTCCATAAAAACTCTCAGTTAACTTGAGAATATGAGATGGGTTAGCCTGCCATCTCTTTCAGGTTGCCAGCATTCCCAAATAAAGGTGTTTTCCCTTTTCATCAACATTTTACTTTCAAGTCATTCATTTCTGTTTAGCGGGGCAGTTGGACTTGGGTTCGGTAAGAACTTCACCAATGCAGTGGTGGAGATGCACGATGTCACATCATAATGGAGCCTGGCATATGCCTCTGCACTGACTTCAGCAACCTGAAAGGGTGGCAGGGGATGGCAACACAACCAAGCTTCTTAAATGAAAGAAGAGCAAAGCTATGGAATAACAGGCTTACCTGTAAATAACTGCTCTTTCTTCTTTCTGGGATTCCGGAAGACAAGGAGCTCTTGCCGAGGGTTTCAAATCAAAACTATTGTTAAAATTCACTTTCACTTTTAACCTTAAACAAGATAATATGTATGAGGATGTTTTGAAAACAGTATTAGCTTATATTTTATACAGAAATTATTGTTATACACTGATTGCTATGTATATAGTCCAAAATAGCATTACCTCAAACTGGTGTACATTCTTGGATGAGGTTAGTTGTTTAAGAATTTCTGAAACCATGATGGAGATTGATTTACTACTCACTGAGAACCAAGAATCAGCCTGGCAAAGTTTAAAGCACTCTCCATCCATTGGGAGCTTATACTTTAATGTAAAAAGAAGCCATAGAGTGTATTATTTATAAGGATAAACGTAAAATGCATTTCCCCAGAGAATCCAAACACTCCATTTCCCTTGCCATAAGGTGGCAGACATGTACCTTAGATTCCTCCAATCTTGCAGCCATGCAAGAGCTGATGAAAGGGCAATATTGGCTCTGTGGAGAGCATCTACTTTGCTGGCATAGATAAGATACAGAATGTAGTATAGCAATGTATAAAATGTTTAAAGAAAGAAATAGTTCAATCACCAAGATAAGAAAGCAGTAACAGCCTATCAGGAAAGAACAAGTATACGGGAGGTGGTTGAGAAATTAAAATTTTAATATTCAACATAGTGAAGAAAGAATTAGTAAACTAGAAAACGTATCCAAAGAAATTATCTAAGGAAATGGAAAATATGAAGGACATACTAAAAGATATTAAAATATAAAAAGGTCTAATACATATGTAATCTGAGCCCAGAAGCAGAATGGAAAGAATGAAGAAAAAGCATTATTTGAAGTGATCACTGCTATATATTTTCCTGAACTCATGAAAAACATGAATACAGATATCCAGGAAGCACACCATATACACATAGTAGGTTAAACACAAAAAGAAATCTGTACCTATGTATTGAGAATGCAGGACACTAAAGACAAAGAGAGGATCTTAAAAGAAACCACAGACAGTTGCTCACTCTCTTGAGCCAGACTGCATTTTATACTTTACCTGAAGTGTGTATTTTTTACTTGTATATTAAACTTAGTGTGGGCCCTGCTCAGTTTCTGGAGCTAGGCCACACTTTTCTCTGAGTTCCTTACTTCACTACATTAAATCTGCTTTAACTTTAAAAAAAAAAAAAAGGCAGCCACAGAGAAAGGACCAAAAAAAAATCAGAACTACAGCAGACTTCTCAAAAACAATAATAGAGGCCCCAAAACCAAGAGAATTATATCTTTAAAGCATTAAGAGAGGAAAAAAAATGTCAGCCAGCAAATTATCTTTAAAGAATGAGGGTAAAATGAAGACATTACAGATTAACAAAAATTTAATTTTAAAGCCTGAATTTCAAGAAAAAGGGAAATGACTCCAGCAGTCCCTCCTCTTCATAGCTGTCTCCCATATCTACATCTGCAGAACTGGCACAGAACTCCTACCTGTTAACTTCAGACAGAATGTTTCCTCTGGGGTGTACCCAAACTAAACCTCATTTTTTAGATTAATAAAATCGTAAAACAGAACATTGATTTAAATCCCAAGAAACTGATGCTTCTCCTTATTCTTTTTCTTTTTTTTTTTTTGTCTTTTTGTCTTTTTCCATGTCCGGCAACAGATCGCAACCCTCAGTGTTGCCCCCGTACCGGACCGGGGACCGGCAACGGGATCGCAACCCTCAGTGTTGCTCCCGCGCCT